TTCACTTCGGTGGCGTTTTCTGCGATTTGACTCTCTCGGAGTCTGATCTTTCACATCGAAGTAGACCTTCATTTCTTACAGAAACGGTCTTTCGATGTCTCGGAGGACCGACCGTTTCCCGGTCGGATCTCGCAGAAAGAAAGCAGAGGAAAATTAGTGAAACGAGGGTTAGGGAGGGTGGGAGAAGAAACTTTCTCAAACGAACTTAAGCCCAATGGCAACGGATACAAACAAGTTCGCATTCAGTCGGACCTAGGACATCCACTCGAGGTCCGATCGGTGATTTCAACGACAGCTTGGAGTTGTCACTTCGCACACAAGTGTGCTACACAACATGCCTCGATACATTGTCTCAAGCAAACCAGGACAACTGTATTAACCCCAAACCCCAACAGCCCTCACAGTCCTTACATCCAGAAACCCTAAAACCCCCAGACCCCAAGCCCCCAAAAGGGCTGAGTCGTAGCTCTTGAGGCCTTCGAAGGTCTCTAAGTTATCTGCTGTAACCATGGGCACTCCTGATCTAGCGCCTAGAAGTGCCCCACAAATGCTGCTGCAACATGCAGCGGCTTCTTTGCTGTCGTTTGGTACGGTTTCGTTTAGGGCTTTGGGTTTTGAGGTTTTGAGGCTTTTCGGTTTAAGACTTCTATAGAGTCAGCACATGGGCAGTACTCATCCATGTCGCTTTTGTGTTTCCGTCGCAAAGCGAGCCCTGAACGACTTGGCCTCTGAGGCTGTCTTGTGTCGTATGGTGAAGTGTCCATTTATGAGTATATATATATATATATGTTTAAATGTATATATATATATATATATGTGTATATATATAGAGAGAGAGAGAGTATATACAAAGTACTTACATGGGGACTGCTTTACAGTCACAGTATAGGATCTATCAGCACGTGGACCTGGGGGTCTGGTGTGGCAAGATATCCCGAACCCATGGACTTCAATGTTTCAGACAACAACTTATGCAGTGGCCTTAATTATCAGAATAGGGTTTTGGGGCCCATTACACTATAGTTATAATAAGGAACCCCCAAACAAACAAGATAGCATAGGTAATGGTTTAGGCCTATTAGAACGTGGACAGTCCAATCACAAACTCTGACTACCAAAGTATCTATACAGGGACTACTTTTCAGCCAAAGTGTATCATCTACGAATACACGAAACTTCAGGGTATGGCGATGGTGCTTAGGGTGTATATATATATATATACCTCCATTCGAGGTACTGGCTACAGACAGTTAATTGTTAGGGACACAAAGAAAACCCTGGAGCCTAAAACTGAAACCATAGACGCAAATGGAAGAACACAGTTCCGGAAGGCAGCCGCGAGGTGGACGTAAACAGGATCTTAGCTTGGGTTTAGGATGTACGGCTTTGGCGTGGGGTTGGGGTTATGTTGCGGCTTAGCGCTTTAGGGTTGAGGGGTTTTAGGGCTTTGGGCTTGGGATATCGTGTCCTGGAGCCAACGACATGTAAGTCCCTAAACCCTAAACCCTACACCCCGCAAGCGAGCAGATGCCCACCACATCGAACAAGTTTGGATACTGCTCACGGTCTGCTTCGTGCATGAGTTGGATCCACCAGTGGATGTACCTGTAGCGGCTTAGGGTTTAGG